CTGTAATTTTCCAAGATATTAAAGATCATAATGCAAAAACTAAATTTATTAAAAGTAATAGGCTTTATATTTCTTAAACTACCTACATGTCAAAGTATTTATAAATTTTTCGAAAATATTCGTCCACTAGTTTTATTGTTGGAATGAAATATAGCAAGACTTGCATTGCCTACTAAGAAAGTTAGTAGCCGGTAGTCATCGGGTTAAAGGGTATTTTGTGTTGTTGCTGGCATGTGGACATCGTAGGTTGTAGTTGTTTGTACTACAGATGCACAGGACTCTTTATCAATCCACTTCTGTTCTGCCATACCCTGATAGGTCTTTTCTTCCTAAGACACTGGCAGCCAGGAAGAGCAATAAATTCTTCTCACCAATTCTTTTGCCAGCTATTTCTCACCTCTATGACAGATCAGGTACAGATCGTTTGATATGTCCTGTCAGAGCCCTGAAGTGTTATGTGGCTCGCACTAACTTCTTTCAAGGTGATGGAACTTAATTCTGTATTCACTGGTATCCTTCAGCTTCCCTAGATTTATTCCCCAATTACTTTGACAAGGTGGCTTCACAAATTGATCCATATTGCTAATTTTGCACTTTCTTTACAGGCGAGGAAACTTCTGAGAGTCACATCTCATCAGATTCATCACATTTCTATGTCTTTAGCTTCCCGTTTGAATTGCCCGCTGGAGGACATCGTATGGGCTAGTATGTAGCCTTCTCTCTATACTTTTCTCTCACATTCTTTACATGATCTGGCAGTTTCTTTTTCTGAGGGTTTTCAACTACCCCCCTGTGGTCATTTGGACAACATCTGCTAGATTATAAGGAGGAGTGAGTAGTTTTTGTCCATCTCTTGTCTGTTTACTTTCCAGAGTCCCTTACCTCTTTTTTTCACTGGATCCCACTCTGTGTTGCCCAGATAGGTGTGCTTTTATCAGTCCAATTCCATACTAGCAACCAATTTAACTATTCTTCTTACTGGTTGCAACAGGCTTTGTAGAAATGAGGTGTTCCATAAGACCATCTAGGAGCTCACCAGATGGTATTACTATATTATGCTGGACTGCCACTCATGGACTATCATGAGTAAAGCTAAAGGGGATCCTGCCCTTTCCTGCCAATCATCGGATTGAAAAAATTGGGGTCAATTTAGGGAAGTTGGTTCATCTATTACCCTCACTGGCCCCTCCTCCTTTTCAAAATGGGATTCTAGCTATAAGTGGCAGTGGAGGTAAGTGTGTTTTGGAAGTTAATATTTTCCTAAATTGAAAATGTATTTCCAGTTATACTTACCTCATCTGACACTCTCTCACCCTTCATCCCCACGAAAAGCTGGTGTTAGAGACTGGGAGGATATCAGCCTCGAAAAATTGATAAAATTATCTGAATGAGGTGCTTATATATGATGTAGGTGGAGATTATATTGCCAAGGGCAATTGAGTGAGGTATAAAAGACAGGAGCAAGCAAGAAAAAATCAGACCAATGCTTAGACGGGCAAAGATTGAAACCCTGGTGGTTGAGTAATAGGAAAATGTTAACTTCCATATAAAACAAACAAAATGGGAGTGAAAATATTTCATCTTAGTACAAGTTGGGTAGACAAGTATGGAAACTGTTGTGTTCAAAATAGTTTTATGTAGTCCATTTGAATGAGCAAGAAATATGAATACTCCTCAAGTGTTTTTACTTTTCCAAATAGTAAAATAAAACCTTGAGTTTTTGTGCTTCATTAATTTTTAAATATTGTGACATTTTTGAAGTATGTATTCTTAATGCATCATATTTAACCATAGTATCCCTTTCTTGCTTTTCAGTACTTATGGATGAAACAGCTAAGTAATGAAGGTGAGCTTAGTAGTTTCATTTCTTTAAGTACTTTATATTAAATGTTTTATATCTAATGTGTGTAATCATAGACTGACAATAAAGGTTTTATTAGTAACACCCTTTATTGTTAAAAGTTAACTGAATTTTCTAAGAACAATACTCCATGTCTCTTGTTGCCCTTGGAACTTCTACGATGGTTATGATTATGCACTATTACTCAACATCTCATGTTTATTTTAACAAGCTGCTGTAAAACACAGCAAGATTGATTCGAAACCATATCACTTGATAAACTTCCTGTAGACTCTAATGTACATTCAAAAATACCATGTGAACTTTATTAGGGGACCACCTTACAGCTATGTAGTAATATGGGATTACTTTAATTATAGTTTCTTTGGATGTCTATTTCATGGGAAAAAAATTTACTTTAAGATGTGGCAAGAAGTTGGAAACTTTTGGCTAGTAAATCTTCATAAACTTCAAATCCTTGTTTATTACCTTGCCAGAAGATATACCCAGCCTCATTGCAACAGTATTTTGGGTTGAGCAGTTCTTTTTCATATCCATAGCCTTCAGTTGATAGATGAGGCCATATTTCTATATTTCCTTGAGGTATGTTATAGAGTTCATTGCTGTTTAAATGGTCTGCTGTGCAAATATTTCTGCTTCCATAGAGAATGTTAAAAGCTTAAAGATTTCCTTCCACAGAATGTTTTGTGCTGTGACTGCTCAGTTAACCCTTTTGCTATGGGTTGGTCAAAGTGTGCATGTCACGACTTTTTAGAGTTACATTCAAAATTTAATTTAACTACTTTATTATCATTGTATACGAATAAACTTGGGATCAAATCATAGTTAATAAATCAATTTTTAATATTATATAAGTTTCAAGTTTTTAATTTTATAAGGAAATACTTAAAAGAATCCTGTCTTCCTTCTTCTGTAACATATTTACCACTCCTCCAAGAAGTATGAAATTTAGTGTAAATTACATATTGTAATACAGATGTTACTCAGGCAAACGATAATTATTTGTTTATGGAGCCAGAAACTAGAAAATCAAACTCACCTGCTGCAATTTTCTTCCACAAATTGCCAATAGTTCTCTCTGAAGCTTTATAATTTTTTATTTTTAACCAATAAAATGCAAAAATTTTAATATATCAAGTGATATATTATATTACATTGTTTTCTGTAGAGAGAATTGTCTACTTCACTTCCAGTTCAAACTTTATTCCCACTGGAAATAAATTGATGAGCTTAGCTGCATTTTAACAGCTCTTATTGCATAGTTAGAAAGCCAGAGAAATTATGTTAGTTATAGGACATTGTTTACTTTTTACTTATCAATATTCTGTGTTCTTAAGTGCATAATCAAATTAAATAAAAATTTACTTAATGTAGTAGTATCATTAATATAAAACTAGGCTTAAGTTTCATTGACAGTCAACAGCAAAAAAAAATACAGGTAAGTACTATATTTATTGTTTTTTATGGGTATTCTTTATTTATTATTTTGAAAGTGACTAAAATGTAAAAATTAGAAATTTATTAGGTTAAATAAGGTTGGATTAAGTTAGATAAAGAAAAATATTAATAATATTAAAACTTCTTCATGAGGTATGCTCATGAGCAGCTCATGCATTAAATAATTCGATGTAGTGACTTAACCTTTACATTCGCCGAGTGATCTACAACTTTCATATCGAGACTGTTAATTAAACATGGCTCAAAGGGCAATAAAACAATAAAATCCAAGTAGAAACAAATGTATACTGTTATGAGCTTTAAGCTATGTAGAATAAACAATTTAATTTACTGTTACAACTTGAAACTTTTTAGAAAGATTTATTTTATATTTTTTATGGTGGTTACAAGGTCACTCAAATTGACCGAATGCATATAGAGTTAGAATAGAGAAAATAATAGATTAATTATAAAGTTTTACTGAAAAAACATTTGATATTTATTTAGGAGGCTAGAGATTACACAAAAGAAATTTGTTGATTTTCAGATGAAGAAAAGTATTTTTAATCTTAACATAACAATCACTTTGCACTCGGAGCAGTCAACAGTGACTCCATATATTTATGGAGAGATTTTTTAATAAAAAACTTCGTAAAAATTTCTGAATTTTTGTGTACAAAAGACTTCTAATGTTTACCAAAAGCTTGCAAAATTTTGTTAAGATGCACAAAACATATTAAAAGTTATAGTATGGAAACTAAAGGTCAAATTAGGGTCACAAACTTGGTCAAGTCAACCAAGCCCATAGCAAGAGAGTTAACAAGTTCACTATACAAATATTGTTTCTTTGAAAAGGGTTGTAATATAATTTTTTAGTCACATATTTTGCTAGCAGCTCTGCACTTTAAAAAATTGATAATTACCATAAATCAAGATATAAATGATAAACATGTCACCCATAGCAGCAAAGTTCTAATTTGAGGCAACATACTACTCCATTTGCATATGCAACTGCAACGCCCTTTTATTCTCTTCTTTTCAAATTATAAGCTTGTTATTTACACGTAAATCTACAGATTTATTGCCTTGCTGACCATTAAAGAGCTTTTCTTGTTTTTATGGTTAAATCTACTGGTGACATATTAGAATTAATGGTTTTTATTCAATAAGGTATATTCCTTTTTAATAATAAATTGTTTTTTTAGATATTGGGCATTTTTTATTTTATCAATCCTACACTATCACACACCCAGTGATGTTGTCTATACATAGCTGGTAGAAAATTATTAAATAGTTTTTAATCATCTGTTTGAATTTTAATTAATGAGCCACACAGTGTTCAGCATATAGAAGAGTTTGTAGTTTTTATGAAAGATTCTTAAAGATGAAAAATTGAATACATATTATAATCCCATATGAGCTGTAAAACATGAATATTTTTTGTGTTTCTATTGTAATAATTTCCTAAAATAATATTCTATGTTATATTTTACCTTTGATCATATTTTGTTTTATTTCTTAATCTATATTGTGCAACTTGTGTTATCTGTTTGTTTACTCAGATTTGGGGGGAAACATTGTTGCATTTAAACACAACTTAAGAAAAAGAAACAAAAAACATACAAGATGTTTTTGTAATTTAACACGTATATTTGATGATTAAATGCAGTATTGTTGATAGTTTGATAAGAATTAATTTAGAATTTGTTATATGGAAATCACATCTACAGCAGCATCTTAGTGGATTTTTCTAAAACTTATTTTTATACTCTGGATTTTCAAATATAATACCATTTAATGATTTATTTAATAAGGTGTTTTGTATAAGCAATAATGACTTGCATTATTTTCAAAAATTTTATATGCGTAAGTACATTTTCTTATATATATGTTTACTCTAAAAGTTGTGGTATAATGATATTTAACTCACATCTCAACTATACTAGACTTAAACTTATATGCTAATTTGTAAGATATAATTCCAAAGTTGTTTTTTTAAAAAGGGGTAGTGATTTGTGACTCCGAGTAGCAAAGTTTAAAATCTAGACAAATGTGCAATGTTCCAGCAAGTTCTAAGGATTTGGAGCAGTATGCTGATATGTTTTTGGAACAGCACATCTCTGGAAGAAGGTTGCTTCTCTTGACGCCTGATGATATGAAAGAAATGGGAGTAATTTCTGTTGGTCATAGAATACACCTTATGGTAATTTACAACCTATATAATGTGTTAAGTGTTATTACTTCATGAAAATAATCTATTAAAATATACGCAACAAGTGATGATGATGTAACTTTAGTACGCTAAATGTATAGTGTAAGTTTTTATTTAAGCTGTAATGACTTGTAATGAGCTTATATATATTTCTTATGTTTAATTCATTAAATGGTGAATATTATGTTAAGAAGTTTACTTAACGAAATTTTATCTATCTCAAACTCTAGGATGGCAAAAACTTTCGTATTGTTATGAATAATATTGTTGGTAACTATTTTAGTCCAGTACAGAATACTGTGAATAAAGCAATGTATTTATATCAAACTTTGGGATGTAAATATTTTATTTAATGAACAAAATACATCCCTTTTAAATAAATAAAATTCTGTTTTAAATATAAGCAATTTTTTTCTTTTTAAATACAGTCAAGTTTTTATAACATCAGATAATTTTGTCAGTGTAGAACATTGTGTTCCTTAGTAATCTCTTACAATTTGAATGAATAATTTGTACACATTATGTTGTGCAGTTTAGTAAATTAATATCACTACCAGAATAGAATTATTGCTCACTTTCTTGGATTACAGTTACACAACTTTGTTCACTTGCTGTTTCTTTTTAGTGGTTTTGTCCAACATATTTAAATGCTTGGAGCAAAATTAATACTGAATAACTGATAATAAAACATTTGAAATTGACACTTCCATTCAAAAAATGGCAATAGACTAATTCTCAACTTTCCAAACCACAAATGTTTAAATTGTTTATCAGGTGTAAACAGATTGCATATCTTGTAACATCTCTAACACAGTTTTCAGTAATTAACTTCTGCATAGATAAAATAAGTAATTTTTTATTTATAATGGCATGAATTTGTTTAATACGTCCTTTATGCATTCCATAAAGTACAATTTTAAATATTTATTTTTAGTTCCAAATTACTTGTATCAATGTAAGATAGCAGAACAATATTATAGAGAGTTAAGCTTTCTAGTTTCATTGGCTACTTAGATGTATCATGGCCAGATGGTTAGGGAGCTTGACTCTCAATCTGAGGGTACAGGGTTCAATTCCCTGTCCCACCAAATGTGCTCACCCTTTCAGCTATTGGGGCATTAAAATGTGACAGTCAATCTCACTGTTCATTGGTGAAAGAATAGCCCAAGAGTTGGCGGTAGGTAGTGATGACTAGCTGTCTTTCACTGCTAAATTAGGGATGGCCTTCGTGTAGCTTTGTACAAAATTCAAAACAAAACAAAACTCTGATGTATCATATATTCTCTGTTTTCAGCTTAACAGTAATAAGTACTATGTTTTTAACCACTCTTCTTTCCATTTAAAAAGTATTTCAGACAAATTGCTTAAAAAATAGAAACTATTCTACTTCTTTGTTAAAAGCAGTGTATTTTGTAACTTGAGATTCTTTTTTGGTGAGAAATTTTGTTTGAACTCACTCATCTGTTAATTAATTTCCACTTGTTTTTAACATTTAAAATTTACAGTTCTTTATTGTTTGTTAGTACTAGCTATAGCAATTCATTTGTCAGTCAAAATAGTTAATACAAGAGTAATCATATTCGTTTGCATAATACCCAAGACCTGATCTCTAATATCTAACTTTTCTTCTAGGATTCTATTGAAAAGCTACAAATTCATAACAAACGAATGCTAGAATTTCCCCCTTTACACCAGGTATGTCTAAGATATAAAAATAATTCAGTAATATTGAAGTTCATGACAATTTGTGGCTTTATAGTAGTGCTTACCTTGGATAGTGTTCCTTATGTAAATATTTTGAAGTTTAAATTATGTAATATCTGCTGTAACATTCCAGGAAAGTTTGTTTCATTACCATGTAATCTTGTTAACAAAACAGTTTCTCTGTAACACTTTTATTTACCTGTTTAAATTTATATAATTCAAGAAAAATCTCATTCCTACAGATGTAATACTTCTTTTGTTTTTCAGACTTTTAGAAAAAGCCCCTCCCCAACTTCTGTTCGACCAAAACATTTTCGTTTGACACTTCTAATCGGCCATCATTTGCGATTGGGTTCAACCCCTGGTGACCACAAGTGGAAGATGTATCTCGAGGTAGATGAAGAAGAATCTCCTTTAACAGCTGTAACATGTATTAAGGATGTCAGCTTTGAATGTAGACAGGCTGGATTGTCATTGACAAAGATCTCACAGGTATCCAATCTGTAAATACCACCAGTTGTAAACTATGTTTAGCATTTAGTTAGAATTATTTCATGTTTTCTCTTTTATAAAATGGGGGAAAAAGTTACATTACATGCAATTGGCATAAGTAATTATAATAATCAATATACAAATCTATGCATGGTCGGCCATCATTCAAGAAATATATAGAAAAATATGATATCAATGAATTTTATTTTTTCATTAATAAGTATCATTGACATATTCCATAAAAAAAATATAATGTTTCATCAGGGTAAAAGAGTGTTTTATAACCAAACTTATAGCTTTATTTTAATCCTTTAAGTGGGCAGCATGCTAGTTTTTGACTCCAAATCCATGGGTATGTCATTTATATTTATCAAGCTGTTTCTGTGATCTCTTAGTTCCCTTGTTCACACTAAGATACAACTGAGCATTTGTATTTAATTACATCTCGAACTCACAATTCCTGATAAGTGACAACAAACATTCCCATGAAATATAGCCATGTCCAAGGTGTGAGTAAAAGTACAATTAATGATATTTTAGAAGGTTCATCTGATAACATTAGTGAGAGTTGAAAAAACTGATTACATCATGAACCTAGCAAAATCACTGGCATTAGACAGGGGCATGTAAGCAGCAAATATTCAAGTGATTCTAATTTAATCTGTATACTTGAGATCTAGCAGTTATATAATAATGTAAGAAAAGAACTTTTTTAAACCAGGCAATTTTCAACATGCTTTGTCCATTCCTGATTTGTGTACACTGCACTTGATGCAATACTGAAAGTCACAGAAGACTTTTACGAGGTGGTCTAATTGACATTAATGTACAAGCTTAAAATTTGTATTAAAATTGTATATCCAGCATATGTGCTCAAAAAATAACAAGAAATAATTTATTTTAAGCCTCCCTTTGTAATGGAAAAATGGTGTGTTGGAATTTCAAGTGATCAGGTAGTGACATGCATAGTGTCATATGAGGTAAGGACTTTTTGTGGTGTATTATGTTTATACTTTACTTTCAAAAGTATCCAGAATTACTGCTTTTATTTGGGCATTACTGTTATTCCATTTTATCATGACATAGTCATATCTTAGTTTGATAGTTACATCTTAGTTTCCAATTTTAAATATAGCACTAATAAAAACATTTTGTTTACCAAGTTTTATGTCATAATACATAAATATATAGTGAGAGTAGGGTGCTAATCATTCATGACTAGTAAATTGTTCTTGTTTTCAGTTTTTTATATAATGAGAGGATGATATATAAACTGAGTCATGCAAACATTTACTTCAAACTTTAAACTATGTATTATTAATAATGGAGAAGCATCAAAGTTTAGCATTAGATAGACAATAACGTTGCATTTTAATAATGTTAAAACTAAATCTGCTTCTCTGTTATGTGGTTGTGTTTATGCAAGAAATCAGTTACATAGCAATCTACTTAAAGCTTTTTAGTTGTTTTATAAATTTACAAACCATATGTTAATAATTTGATATCAAATGTTTAGTAAAAAATTAGCTTTCATTTCATATTAGTTAGATCTAAATAAAAAATACAGTAACCTGCAATGTTTTTGCCTAATTTTAGTCCTTGCATTTTTGTGTGTATGTATAAGTAGATACTGAATGAAAAACATGATTGTAGCCTTACAGTTGTACTACAGGACTTGATACTAATTTTCAGTTGTGCCAGTATTAGAGTTTACAGAATTGAAAGTAAGACTTTAAGAATGGTTTTATGTATTTCTGTTGGTAATTACAGAACAACCAGATGAAAGCTGGTGGAAATTATGGTTGTCCTTGTCATGAACTTGGCATACAATTAATTCAGTCATTCTTAGTATCTTAAAACCACCAGAATATTGTCTTAATCTAGCTCTCACTTTAACAGTTGTTGTTCATGCAATTTGATAGTATCTCAACCTCTATATTATTTATTTATTGTTATTTTCATTAACAGTATAGATTATAATATTTAGTATATCGAATGTCATAACTTTTTATTTTAATTTATTGTTTATTATTGTTAGCTTAATATATGTATATAGGACTAACCTGAATCACATAAGCTGGCCAGATCTCATGAGATATTACTGGGATTGTGGTTGCAAATATTGTTAACAGCTTCATCAGTAGTGGATATAGAAGATTTAGTGTGGTTAGCATATTCTTATACATTCTTCTTTACTTAAACTTAGAAGTTCTATGAAATAGTACTGAATTTGCTATCTAACATTTATATAGATCATAGTAACTTTTTTCTTATTCAAAAACAACAGCTGATAAATAAATAAATGAAACAAGGTTTGTAGCTTAATCACTAATGGAAATTCCAAACTTTGCTCTTGGATATTGAATTTCATATGCTTTAAATTAGCTATAACAACAGTCACAGTAACCTTTCTTAATCAGCTTATCAAATCTTTGTAAAATTATTTGACTACACCACTGTATAACATTCTAATTCCACATTCATGCAAAAATAAGTTTAGAAATATAAATCTAAACTTAAGAAAGTGCTTGTGTATCAAGATGCATACATAGAATTTGTTTTATTTCATAAAGAAAATTAAAGTATCAAAAATAATCATAATTTAATTAATTTTTAAGGAATGTTTATTATAGAAGTTTTTAATGAATTACTGACCAAAACTAACATTCCTTCAGTAATAAATAGTATATTTATTTTTATTTGAAGACCCAGTTACTCTTATTTAGAATCATATAAGGCAATAGTTGACCATAGTCTTAAACATAGATTATAACCACAAGTACAATTAAGATGTGATTTAACCACAAGAATTGGTAATTATAGCCATGTTATTTGCTATTTTGTGTATAAAGTTATGGTATTCTAAGGTGTTTAAAAGCAATTTTAGCTAAGTTACTATAACCATAAAATAGGAGGTTTGATAAGATTTCTCTTAACAGAGTTGTAATGAAGTTCAACTTAACCATAAGTGAAAGAGACTGATACAAAATATTCATTGAACAAAACCACACTACTCAACACTGAAGTATATGTGGCAAATGAACTTTTAGAATGAAGGACAATACTAACAAATACTTTCTGTTCACAACTTCAGCTTTCTCTGTTTAATGGTTGCTTGTCAGTGAGAAGCAGACAACTTTGCTAGACAAAGATAAGGCAAAAATTTGTTCAACACCAGGTTATTTTTGAGCAAGAACTAGTTTTTACTCACACAATGTATGTGACATTACATTTCATTACCACTGATGATAACTTAAATCACATCCTTTTTTACTGGTCCAGTACAAGTTTTCAATAAAAACAGTGTATAATAGGATCTTAACTATGTCTACCTGTTTGTTATATGTACCTACTGCTGAGGAATTTTGCTCAATACCAGAAGTCCAGACCAGTTGGGTTACTAGAATTAGTTGAACCACTATATTTATATCAGTTGTTTATGAGACATCAATACTTGTAGTGTGTATTTTCCAAGCTGGCAAAGCATGATAATATCCTGTGTTCTTAGGTTCATTGTTTAAGTAAATAAAAATTAGTTCCATCATTATGAAAAAATAAAGTAGGCTTAAATTTCACTGGCAACTGACAGCAAAAAACAAAAAATCAAAGTTATGTACTAAATTTTTTTAATGTTTATTTTTTTATTTATGGTTATCAAAGTAATTAAGATGTAAAAGTTAGAAACTTATTAGGTTACATAAGGTAACATAATGAAAAATAATGATAAAAATTATTCCCAAAATATGCACATGAATAGCTCGTGCATTATGTGATGAGATTGTTAGTTCTGACAAGGTACCTTACTTCCACTCACATATATACCTATACTCATTCAGTGCTGCCCTCCATGTAAAAAAATGTTTTGCATGCCACAAGCCTTTCACTTGATTCACACCTCAATTGACATGGTTTAACTGATTCTCGCATGCAAATTATCATGTGACAAACCCCCACCAATAGTAATCACACACATACACCCATGTGATTTGTGACTACCTCTATGCTATTCTACCTAACTATCACTTCTCATTTGGCAGTGCTCATGTTCAGTCATTTAGTTTGCGCTCTCTTCAAGTGTTTTTGTATCAATTTTTCTCAACAAGTTTACTATTTATTTTACAATTAATTTAGTTTGTGAGGACCCCTGGGGGCCAGAGTCCACCCTTCCTTCTCCCAATATTGTTTGCCTTGCTCCTAGAACTGCCAAACCTATGTAGGATGACCTAGATTTTGTCAGTTTTCCTCCACCTGATTATGGCTTGCCTTTCCAGGCCTCTACTGCAGTATCTGCTAGACCTACCTCGACCTTTTTTAAGATACATTTCAAAGTATAATTTTCCCTACTTCTCCAGACATTATGTTTCATGATGAATATTTTTGTCTCTCTTTTGGGTGAAGGTACTTGTAATGCCTTGCCCTCCATGGGCTTTGGTTCAATTTGCCTTGGCTTACCATCAGGCAGATTTTCTTCTTGATTCTATGTACTTAGTGTCTCTGTCGCCTGTATGGGTGGCAGTCTCTGTTAATCCTATCCATTTTATCCCCCATCTAGTTTTCCAGCTTTATCTTACCCTATCGACTCTCCTACTTTAAACTTTGCAATCTTCAATTATTTCCTTCCATGCATGGCTTCTTTTGCTTTTGGGATCTTCTGGGGTAGGATACTGTTTTGTATCGTTTGTTTACCATCCACTTCTAATAGGGACATATGGTCGGCTCTTTTTCTCCACCGGTTCGTGTTTTGGCGCTACTCCTGTGCATTTAGCATCATGTAGGGTATCTGTGATACTATATTCTATGTTTTTGGTTGCTCTATTTTGCAGTCTGATTCATTGCCATCATTATTCTTGTTCCATATTCAGCACCTTCCCATCCTATGGGTTTCTCCATTCGTTGTGTAGGCTCGATGCTAATTGGAGTTTTGGATCAATCAGTCCCGCCTCAATCACTCCTTGGTTCTTCCCCATTTTAATATGTAGTCTTTGATCACAATTTGGTGGCCAACTTCTGCAGGACTAAGAATTCCCACAGTACAAATTCTTATTTTTCATTTCTCAGGACATATCTTAGGTTTTTTCACCACATGATTCAGTACCAGTTTTATGCCTTGCCCTTCGGTCTTGTTTCAGTTCCATATGTCTTTTGTCTGGTGGTCTGCATTTTATCAGACTTACTACTTGGACATCTGGCTTTGATTAACTCCTTCCAAATGGGGGTGGTCATAACATACTCATCTCTCATCTGCTTCTTACACAAGCAGCTCGGGTTGTTGGATTTTTCACTTGGATAAGTTTTTCCTGTTACCTACCTAACAATCTCAGCTATTCGGAGAGTGTCTTTTTAAACACCCACTTCTGTTGGGACCATCCATTCTCCTCCTCAAATGTATTAAATGTAGCTTTCTGTTATCCACACCATTATGGTTCACTATTTTACAGCTAGTGAGGTTCTAATGCATTGAGGATGTGACTTCTATGGTAGCATTTCTCCCTTTTGGTCTGACACATTTGTGATCTTTTCAGGAGACACTGCATGATCCGTTGTCTCTTGCTAGGGTTCCTTTGGATTCTTCTCTTAATTTTCCTCATTGACTATATGCATTAGTGTTTGAATATATCCCCATGTCATCGGGATTAGTGATCCCCCTCCCCCTCATCCAGATTTGTTTCTCTTCCCTGATGCTCATCTCCAAAGTTGGGGGGCATGGGTTGATCAGCGGGAGGCTTCATCAGAATGGTCTATGGACGAAAGGTCTTACCATGTTAACACCCTGGCAGTCCAATAGGCTTTAGTTCACTTTCTTCCTCTTGTCTGGATTTGACTAATCATGTTTCATTCTGACTATTTGATGTGGTGGCTTATATATATCTTCATTAACTTTCACTTTAATGGGATATATATGTATGTTATTTCACTCTGTTCACATGTGTCTTGTTCACAGATTCATGATTGTATTTCCCCATCTAGCCAGGTTAACTTG